GTGGATTCTTCTTCAGAATCCAGTTGTTACAATGTGTAGATTTTGACCCACCCTTTCAAGGGCGGATATATATATATATATATATATATATATATATATATATATATGTTTAAAAAAAAAATATTAATTTTGGTATTTATGCTTTGTACAATCATATTTTTGCAATCATGATCTATTGATATAGGTTTGGTCCATCAATATTTTTCTAAATGATTAATAAGAAATTTTAATAAATTGTATTAAAATAGATGAACCATATATTAATAGGTCATGAGTGCAAAACTATGATTGAACAAAAAAAACACACAAATACCAAAACTAAATTCACAAAAAATAATTAAAAGAAAAAAAATTTATCCACCCACTTAGAATCTAGTTATTTTTTAAAAAACTTTATTCTTAAAATTTACAATATATTCTATTTTATATTAGTTACCTAACCTAATTAATTAAGAACATTTGTACCATACAAATCTGACTCGGAATCAAATAAAAAAATCAAAGACTTATATTCTATTAAACCTGTCATATATACTCAACGGTTTTTAAAAATTATATCCGAGAACTAATATCAATCCAACCTGCACCGAACAAAATCCCCTATATATTATTTGCGAAGTGATTTTGCCACATGTCCTCTCTACAATCAGTTTCACAAAAAAAAATGATGACATGTCTACTAGAATTGATGACATGAAATATGATTAAATATGACATGGAGAATTGCATTTAATGTTAATATATATTTTTGGAAAACTTTATAAAATATGGTAACAACTCATATATTAGATTTGATGTCGATTTATATTTTTGGAAATATGTTTAAAATATGGTAATAACTCATAAATCATCATTAAAATAAATATATTCAAATATGACATTATAAATTTCGAAAATATCATTTAATTATATATTTTAAAATTATACAATTTATTACAAACTTTTCAAAAATGTATACCTTTTTGAAAATTATAAAAATTTAATCGTAAAATTATTAATTTCTTATATATTTACAAATTTAAGAAATATTGTCTAATTTTAATTTTTGATAATTATAAATTTTTCTACAAATTTATTTAATATATTTAATTAAAATAAATAGATAAAAAATGTATCTAAGATTATAATTTTAAATATATACATGCATATTCTTAAGAGAAAATGACTAGAATAAACCTTAAAAAGTTTTTATCACAAATATAGACCTTAACAATTAAAATGACCAAAATAGCACTTAAATTTTTTATTAAATATACATCTATACCCCTTGGGTTAACTAATCCTAGATTTTTTTGTTTAGAGTTAAGGAGTGGGATTTTGGAGATAGGGTTTCGAATTTAAAAAAATTAAAAAAAAAAAACATAAAATTTTCAAAATAAAAAGTATTATTTTGGTCATTTTAATTTTTGAGGTCTATTTTTGTGATAAAAACTTAAAAGAGGGCTATTTGAGAGAATTACCCTATTCTTAAATATAATTTAAAATAAAAAAATATTTTTCTATTATTTTTATGTTTAATTAAAAAAATTGTATTAAAATAGTGATAAGAAAAAGAAAAATTATAATATTAATAAAATTTTAATTTTAAACATAATTTGGAAAACTTTACAAAATATGGGAACAACTCATATTAGATTTGCTATCGATTTATATTTTTGGAAATATTTTCAAAATATGGTAATAACTCATAAATCATCATTAGAATAATTATATTCAAATATGGCATTATAAATTTCGAAAATATCATTTAATTATATATTTTAAAATTATACAATTTTACTACAAACTTTTCGAAAATGTATACCTTTTTTGAAAATTATTAAAATTTAACCGTAAAATTATTAATTTCTTATATATTTACAAATTTAATAAATATTGTCTAATTTTAATTTTTGATAATTATAAAAATTGCTAAAATTTTATTTAATATATTTTTTTAAAATAAATAGATAAAAATCTATCTAAGATTATAATTTTAAATATATACATGAATATTCTTAAATATAATTTAAAATAAACAAAAATATTTTTATATTATTTTTATTTTTAATGAAACAAAATTTTGTATCAAAATAGTGATAAGAAAAAGAAAATTTATAATATTAATAAAATTTAATTTTAAACATAATTTATATTGTATCTGTTAAACAAATATTTTAAATTTTTTAACTGCACATGGTGCAGGAGAACACCTAGTTTTATAAAAAAAATTTGAAGAATGAATTTTTAATATATTCTGTTAAATATATAATATATATATATATATATAAATGGATTAATACGATCTCCACTAACTTTAAGTAAATACCGTTTATTAAATATTTTTAATTAAATAATCTAGTTAAAATCTGTTAAACTACATGAGTTTATATGAATATTTATTCTATTAAAAGACTATTTAAACTATATTTTAACATTATGTGTTTTGTTAATTGATATACTTAATGTATATGTAAAATGTTTATTATTTGATTGAATTAATGTCTGGTTGAATAAATTCTAATTTCTTGGGCTGAAATGTAAGTTATGTTGTTGTAGTGTGATAATTATTTTTGAAAAATTTGGTGTTCAATAGTATTGTTGCTAAAAATATATGTTAAATATGATTACGAAATTTAAGTTGAAACTATTTTATATCAATGTAAACAGATTTAAATCATACATGGACAAATGGACAAATTTGAATAAAATAATATAAAATTAAACTCAGCTTTAAATATTTTAATATTAATTAGATGTACTGTTATTATAGGTTCGTGTAAAACCTGTCAAAAAGCAAACAACAGTTTTAATATAATTAGGGTTGATTTTAGAAATATATATAGTTATTATATTGCCCATTAAGCTAAGAAATAGGAAGTTGCAGCATTTTTGACTGGAGTTACCTTTTTTTAACTTAAAACCATAACTACTATATATGCAGTTACATAAAATAAAGACTTATATTTCAATCTTGAAAGAATAAAACATAGAAATAATTAATTGGACCCAACAAATATCAATAAGTCATGTTCCAAATTTAATACTCCCCATGTTCCTAAAATATAGACTTTCTAGTGTTTTCATATATACTAGGTAGAGACCCGCGCAAAATCGCGGGGTGAGATGAATAATATCAACCATAACATAAATTTCATTATATATAGTTTCTACTTTAATAATAATGTACAACAGTAAATATTGACGATAAATTTAAATGGATTAATAGGTGTCAAGATCTCAATTGATATATGTAGTTAGTATAAACCAGAAATTGATTTTTTTTTTTTCGTTTATTCAAGTACGGCATTTCAACATTTAGGTTGGGACGGAATGAATGAGACCGATAGGTTGATGTTATATAGATGAACCAATGTTTTTCTTCATGGTAAAAGGCATTAGAGGTACCAATGTTAGCACAGTTAATTGCATATGATAAGTATAGGAAATTAATGTATACATAATAGGAAAAAAACCATGAATCGCAAATTTATTCTAATTTACATACAAATGTGGGATTGACTATAACTTGCCTTAACTAATCCTTCGATCACATAGTTTGCGTATACTATTGGTTAGAATTAATGCCATATATATGTTTATACAATAAATGGCTTGAATTTTTAGGGAACTATTTATACAATAAATGAATTTGATTTCTCTTCTAATTTCCACACAATTGTAGGTTTGACTCTAACTTTCCTTCACAATCCTTTGACTCTAACTTTCCTTCACTTTCCGTCTATGCCATATTTTTGAATTTGCTAAATGATGTAACCATCGGGTCTGTAAAAACATTTTATATCTTCACCCGAAAATCTCTTTTTCATATTTGACATATCTTAGCACGTAGTACATAAAATAAATAAGAATTGTTTTTGTTTGTTATTATAAACCTGTTCACATTGTATGGTAGAAATTTTCTAAAGTGCATGAGTACAATGTTTGTAAAAATAATGGGTTTTCGTTTTAATAAATGTGGAACAAATTGGGAATATAGAAAAGGTCTTTGTTAGCAAGTTCATGTGTTCTTGATGGATAAAAAAAAAATTCCCAGAAATTTGTTCACTTTAAAGGTCATTATTGATTTATTATATGTTAAATGTTGACTGAAGCATGAATCCTAAGAAATTGGTAAAATATAAAATGTCTTTCTTACCAAGTTCATGTATTTTAACTACCTTCTAATAATGTTTTCTGTAGGTCCAAAGGAAGTTATAAATATAATCTGATTCAATGCGGTAGTCCACCGGAAAAACGTTAAAAACCTTACACAAAAATGTATACGTCGCCAAGATAATAATAAATCAACGTAAGTCAAATGGCATCTCCTCGTAATTACTCTAGGTACAAAAGGATAAATTGAAAAGACAGCTGAGAAGAGCTATCAAATTGACACGTATACAAAATGACATAGATGTAAATAAAGTATCAATTAAAGGTTGTTTTTTTATTTTGCTTCTCCTTTAATAATAAGAGGATTAAGAAAACACATTAAATCATTATCGTTTTCCGTAATTTTCAATTTTCAACAATTTTTAACCAATATTAATCTAATAAAATTAATTAATTTTTTTTGAAACTTGTGATTTTCTCATAAAAAACATAATACATATCGTTTTGAAACGAAATATTTTTCCATGATCTTTTAGGAAATATTCGGCTTGATGTTTAATCCCTATCCCATAGAAATTGCAATTCAGCATCAACTGTCAGCGCGTGGAGTCTTGTAATTGAAGGGGAAGGAGAAAGGGTAAAAGCGTAAAAACAGGAAACAAAAGAAGACGTGACACTCTCTCATTGGATAATACACATCTACATAACTCGATATTAATTAAATAATATTAATATTCCTTAAACCAGTAACTAAATAGTTTATTGTAGTTTTCCAGTATTCTAAGATATCGTGGACAAGTGTGTTTTCGTCAAGCTCTGAAACTCTTTATATCTTCTGTCTCCATCCTCTCTCTACGAATCACCTTCACGCTACCGTTGACGTCTCGGATGATCCAATAACCTCTCTATTTATCACAGGTATCGAACTCGCCTGATCTGTTTGATCCTCTCATCGATTTCTTCATCGTAATCACCGTTCTAGATAAGATCCCCTTGCTCTCCTCACGATTCGTCATCTCCATTGAACTAAATCACCTCTAGATTTTAGATCTGCCATGGACTTTCCAGAGAATCTGCCATCATCAGATATAGGAAGGTTAGAGCAGATCGTATCTCACATCTTCCCAAAGGCACTACACATCGTCCTCGACTCCAGAATCCCTTCCTTACAATCCCACCGCCGTTCCCGCGAGCGTCTCAACCCCAAAAAGAGCGATAAATGGTTTAATCTCATTATGGGAGACCGTCCCGCTGCGTTAGACAAGTTACATTCATGGCATAGGAACATCCTTGACTCAATGATCATCGACATCATCCTCGTCCATCCCATTCCCAACGAGGATGACGATTCCCTTAGATCCGCTGAGACTGTGATCGAGCGTTGGGTTGTTCAATACGAGAATCCACTTATCATGTCTCCTCAGACCTCTGATCCTTCCACTACCCGTTACCAGAAAGTTTACAAGAAAGCTATCATTCTGTTACGTTCTCTCTATGCTCAGACCCGCCTTCTCCCTGCCTACCGTGTCTCCAGGCAGCTGAGTTCGTCTCTTGCTTCTTCCGGTTACGAAATGGTCTACAAGGTCTCCTCCTTCTCTCCTCCTGTGACTGAGACCATGAAGGAGTTTCGGTTTTCCCCCGTTGAAGTGCCTCCTGGTCGTCTCTGCGCCTCTGTTACTTACCGTTCTGACTTATCCGACTTCAATCTCGGTGCTCACATCACATTGCCTCCGAGGATCATAACTGATTACGTCGGGAGCCCCGCGACGGATCCTATGAGGTTCTTCCCTTCTCCAGGGCAAAGTCTTGAAGGCACTTCTTTTCAAGGTAGAGCTGGACGGCCTCCGCTGACTAGCTCTGCCTCCGAACGTCCTCATAGCTGGACCAGCGGCTTTCACAGACCTCCCACACCTAACCAGTCTTTCTCCCCTCATGATTTCCACTGGTCACGTACTGATGGTGGTGACAGTCACCACCAGCTTTCACCTCCTTTTTCCCCCTCAGGCTCTCCAAGATACGTTTCGGGGAGTAACAGTCCGAGGATTAATGTCAGGCCTGGGACTGCTCCAGTGACTATCCCTTCTTCAGCTGCGTTCAATAGATATGTTTCTTCTAACTTCTCTGAGCCAAGTAGGAATCCACTTCCTCCTTTTTCCCCTAAAAGCGCCAGACGCTCTCCTTCTTCCCAGGACTCTTTGCCTGGGATTGCTTTGTACAAGAGTTCCAGAAGCGGAGAGTCCCCTTCCGGATTAATGAACCACTACCCTGGCCACAAGGTTATTATTAATTATGCTTCTTACCTCTCTTTTTTTATGTGTCTTGGTTAATGCAAGTGAGAGAGATCACAATGTTTGATTTTGAATCATGACTTTTCAGCTGACAAAGGACAGTAAATACGATTCAGGCCGGTTCTCTGGACTACTGTCTTCAAGTGGCTCACCAAGATTCGGGTTTTCTAGGAGCCCCAGTAGATTATCTTCGGATTTGGAAGATCCTGACTGTTCATGCCCTTTTGATTTCGATGATGTTGAAGAGTCAGGACTTCAGTACAGGTAAAATGCTTTTACCCCCCAGTAATCATTTGAAGGATATTTGTATTAGTTTTCTGAAATATATACACGAGCTCATCAAGAAAACAATAACATCTTGACTGTTTTTATGTAAGGCGTGAAGATGTACAATTGTTGACATCTTTTAAACCCTGCCTTTATCTCACTGTCTAAGTCGTTTTTGGCTGTCAATTTTCACATCTTATTGGCTTTCTTTCGGTGCAGCCAAAGTCTTGACCGGAGGAAAACTTCAAGTTCTATATCACAGTCGTTACCTATAGGCAGGAAGTCACAGGACGCAGCGGTTGGAGTCCTGGTTCAGATGCTGAAGACAGCACCGCCATTACGACAAGACTCAAGCACTTACATGGCGTCAATGTCTGGGGTTCAGAGAGATGGTAGTTCTGTGTCAGGTACAGAATCTGAATTTTCGATGGCTCGAAGTACATCAGATGCACTAGAGGAACTGAGAAATTACAAGCAGCTCAAAGACTTGCTTCTCTCCAAATCCAAGAGTGTTGGTGGAGCAACTCGTGTCCACTGAGCCAAAACCAAAAGAGAGCAATCAAGATATGAGTTAAACTTTTCAATGTTTGTAAATATTGATTTGATGACGAATACTTTAGCTCATGTGTTTTAGTTTATGTTAAAGAACCCTTGAGAAAGAAAAAAAGAGTGTAAAATAACTTGTCTTTCAATATGTACATAGTACTAATAAAGTTTGAAATCTTTTCATTTCAACATTGTTAAACCTTTAGAGATGTCTTTGGTAAGTTGAAGAACATCGACCTTTGTGAGCGTTACCAATGAAAAAGTTTGATGTAATAATGCATACTCTTGTTCATTTAAAAGATTATACATATGCTTAGCAGTCGTACCTTATAGTTATTCTGATTTGATTTGGTTTGATTTGATCATCAACATAGAAGAGTTTTGTAACACAATACACCAAATATTTGCCACAAAGTAAAACTTCAAAACCGTTTCCTTTACCCAAAAAACTGCCACCCATCTCCTACACAACTCTACTTAGAATTACTAGCCGGCTTCGGAAGTGATATCTCCAGTCAAAAGCGTCCCGCGAAACCCTGCTTCGATATCTTGATGCACCGTCTTCTTATCGCATATCTCATCTGTTGAGAACATCAACATGGTTATTTTTTTTAATCGACAAATCTCACTTATTAGAGCTAATTAGCTACACTTAATATAACTGAAAGGCCTTACTTACCAGCAATGTCGCGGTGTTCATGTATCTCGGTATCTCTCACCCAAAGCTTGTCGCCAGGGAATATGTTCATGTCTGCAAGGGTTGCAGATTCCTGATCAATCACTTGTGTGCCTTTGTGAAGTTCTTGGTTCTCCTTCATCACCTGCATATTATTAAAGCCCACATGTCATCGTGTCCGCAAGTAATCTACTGAAACCTTATAAGACTAGTCTGGAAGATTTCCCAAGCAATGCTATAAGCCATTACCCCAAGTAATTCCCATATCATCATCTTTAACTGGTACACAGTCATTGTTGCAGAAACTCTCAAGCTGGTCTGCTTCCCATAGTTTGTCCTCCGTGAGCGCTTTGAGGTACGCCGTTCCACCTCAAACATGGAGTCAGCTGAATCTAACATTGACTTTGGTGCTTCCTTTCCACGCACCAAGGATACAGATACATCTCCTTCAGAGTAACTGAGCTTCTGCATCAACTCAAAGCTCTCTCTGTCTCCTATGCATTCCTCACAAACCTACAGAGGATAAAATATACTGTTAAAAGCAAAGCATGGACCTCAAAACGATTACTCTACATGCATTGAAACAGTATGTAATGTAAATACCTCTGGGGATGTCCTAAGAATAAGCTGCTGACTATCAATGTCCATATCCATCTCAAGGTCAATATCCTGAGATGAACTTCCGTTTCTGTTATTACCAGCCTCAACAAAAGCAGAGACTCCTTTCTCCATGATCCCTCCCCACTCCTCACAGAAATATTTCCAATCATCCTCAGGGATGATTGTCAGCTTGTCCGTCTAAAACAATGTGCACGAATCAAAGTAAGAATTCCCCTAAAACAGCCAGTAAACATGCCGGAGGATGTAAACTACACATGTTCCCTTTATAACTCTCACTGAAACAGAAATTATACAACTTAACCGCAAAACCAAACTATCAGAACCAATGACTAGAGTTTATTCTAGAGATTCTAAATCCGTCCAAGCGCTACCAGTCCCAAAACACTCATCCATCTCCCACATTTGATTAATCTTATTATATACACTATCCTTACTTCTACAGAAACAGATTAGTCTCTCTTGCGTTTGTTATGAACACTTTGGCTTCAAAATAGATTTATAAGAATCATACTTACAGATGGGTTTTTCTGAAAAATTGAGCCACGTCTGTAGATAAGTTCAGGAAGCCTTTCCAGGAGTCGTGTGTGCTGAGACGAACCATAAGACAAACAATTAGTTTTATGCTCAAATTTGGTACTAGGAAGATAAAATAAGGCCTGTTGATATATACGACAGGTTAGATTCACCCCTGAGAAAGAAGTGTGGGAAACAGATGTAGAGTTAAGCACTTCTGTATATATAGCAACCAACTCACTGCCAAGCAATGGATCTTACCTTCTCGCACTTGAGAGTATCAATGACTCCATTAAGAAGTTCAGGTTCTGGTACTGAGGAACTGCTTTTTCCAGTAATGTTAATATAGCTTCTCCACTGCACTAACCACGAAGAAGGCAACAAGACATATCGGCTTTGTGGCGTTAATGCTATACCCTTTCCCGTGGCTAACGTCTCGTGGTTTTGGCGCTGATTGGCCTTTATTGTTCTGTTACATCAGAACGAACGTAAGAAAATAGTTAAAAGAGTAGTAGCACGGCCAACAGAAATGAAAACTAAAAATGATCAACCTTAATGCATCCTCGACGTCAGCAACCTCAGAAAGTTCTGATGTGCAGTGAGAACAGTGGCTGGAATCCAGAGGGAAACAAGGACAACCCGAAGTATCTTCTGGTGTCACTTTTAAAGCATCTTCAACAACGAATGACCAGAGATCCTCTGGAACTAGAATCCTTTTGGCCCCTGGAGCTTGCTCAGGCATCAGCTCCCCATGACTGCACGTGATTGCATTAGTGGGGCCTGCATCTGCTTCACTGGGAGCATCAAGGTTTTTCCTTTTTACCCATTGCTGCAACCTGGAAACATGTTATTACGCTTTAGAAGGAGCTAGATTTTTCTGAAACATGTTAGGTGCGAGTCCCAATGGCGTCCATCATAGAAGCAGCTAACTGTGGTGACACCCGCAAAATAATAGTGATTAAATGGTAAAGGCGCCATCAGAATATGCACAAATAAGCAAAAAAGGTATTATCAGAAACCTAGCCGTGACAGGACAGTTGAACACATACCATGCTTTAGAGACGTAGTAACGTCCGTTCTCATATTTTCCCGTAAGAACATCGCTTGCTATGCTTTTCATGAATGTTCTTCGATCCCTATAGCTGTCAGAAGAGACAACCATGCGAGCACAATCCATAAGGCATTCCCTGCAGTAGTCCCCTTTCCCTAACTTTGGTCCACCATTGAACTAACAGTAAGAGAATATCATCACATCAGAAAAAAGGATTAAACAAGAGGGTGGAAAAACCCAAAAAGAATTCTAATTCTACCACATGATAGCAGAACGGAAGATTTCTGTTGACAGAAATATAGAAACGACGAATTTGTCTGACGAATGGTTAATAGTGGCAGATGATCCAAATTTTACAGACAAGATATCTTTATGTCTTGAAGAAAGGGAAGGCACACAAAGTATATTGCATACCTTTGATTCTAACTTAATCCATGCAAGTTCAGATATACGCTTCATGCATGTAACTTTTGAGGCAAGAACTTTCCCGTGGGGACACAGTAAAGGGGTGTTGTCCAAAGCGCTACCTCGTACAAAAAAAAAAAAGAACATACATAATCAAGAACACTTGAAACCGTGGATATGATCTAATTTGATAAACAGAAATCGTATTTGCCACTAACTGAAAACTGTAATCAAATACAAACTATTGAGGGAAAACAATTGCAAGAAAGTTTGGTATAAAATAGCCATCATATCTGATTGATCATATACTTTGTTGCAGATTTAAATGCATCGTCTGTTGCAAGAAGTGCAGTTAGAGGTATGTACGAAGAGATTTACTTACGGTGGCGAGATGGTATCAGCCCATAGACGGAGCCAATCGGTGGAGATCCAAAAATATTGTTCTTCAAGTGACTGAACAGCAGCTTCTGAAAGTATTGTCCGTACTTCTTGCCTCCTTTCAGTCAAAGTATTCAATTCTCTTTCCTTTCTTAAATCAAATTGCTTGCAACCCTCAAGGAATGTTGCGTTGAGGTCACTGATCCATTTATCGAGATGTGGTGGAAGATAACCACCTCCAGGCTGTTGAACACCATCAACATCTCTGTTAGCTATGTCAATAGGATTTCCTCTTTGTCCTTCCCGGCTTTCTATTTTACTGCATCGGAGACTATAAATCAGCATATAAGCATCACTGGATGAGAAAATCTCTGACTTAATAGAAGAAGAGCCTGATTGATTGGCATATGTTGTGTTCCCACTACTAGAGGCACCATTACTCTCGGACTTTGGAGTTGAAGAAGAGCCTTCATTGAATGGATGTGTACCCAATTCTGAAACTTCCTCATCGTCAAATTTCCACCACAAGCCAGTCTTTTCATCTTTTATGTGAGCAAAGTAATGTCCACTGTTCACAGCACTTCCTTTGTGGATTAACACAGCAGAGAGTTGGTATGTCAACTCATTATCAGAAGGCTCTGCCAATCTCGATCTCATATCCAGCACTTGAGGGAAGGAAAATGAGGATGTAATTTTCTTCTTAGCCGTAGTCTGTTGACATGATCCACCCCCCAAAAAAAGGAAAAAGTTTAATCAACTTTAACAAATGTCTTATATAAGATTCAATTTATATGCAAATCACAAGAAATGAGTCAAAGGAAAGAACCTTTGGGAGGAAAACACATCGTTTGAGCTGAAAAGTGATAACAGGAGGTAGTGTGCGCAATTTAATGCAGCGTGTGGCATCTACTCTAGCATCGCAGCCACCACAAAAATACTGATTGTCACCATCGAGATGCTCCAAGCTAAGGTAATCATTCAAACTATCATCCAAACTTTTAAGGCCCTTGATATTCAACTCAAGGGCATAAAAATCCTCCACCTTTGAGGAAGCTTCTGAATCCCTCCCACATTTTAAGCACCTAACAAGACAACAAAAAAAATTATCAGATAAACAAGACACCTAGAAAGCAGATATGTTCTTGCCTTAAAAAAAACCAAAAAATCAAAAATCAAAATCTTACGTGGTGACATGAGAGACACTACCACGGAAGAGATCTTGCACAATAGTTGTAGCCTTGGAAACATTGGAGAGGCGTAAGCAACGCTCAAGCAAGGACAAAAGCAAAGTCAAGAACTCATGCGTATCCTGCTGAATCCCGTTATCCAACTCAAGCGTCTTCACAAAAGCATCAGAATCAACAAAAGACCTGTTACTAGCACGAAGCTGCGCGAAAAGCCTCGCGATCTGATCCAAGACAGGAAACTGCTTCAAAACCTCAACTTCGACAGAGAAAACACCTTCCCGGAAAGCAGTGTTCATATATAAACACTGGAGTATACTGTTGGCATAGCAAGTAGCCCCCAAATTGGTTAAACCAGCGGGTGTAGAGTCAGAAGCACGACGTTCCGAGGAGAGATCAGGACCAAGAGCTTGGACGATGTCGGAAGTCTTTTGCCAGAGACCGGATTTGCGGGTACCGTTGGGAGGTGGAACAAGGCCGCAGAAACAGTTGGGGTTGTCACGGGTGTTGACGCGGGAGCCTTGACAATGTGGTTTATGTATCATCAACAGTTGGTTTATGTCTTCGTCTGTTACATCTTTAGCTTCGTAGATTTTTCTGTAAACATATAATTAAAGTTTTGACTGAAAAGAGGGATAAAAATGCAAGAAGTAAAGGGAAAAAACAAGTCTTTTTTTTTTGTGTACCGGAGAATTTGAGAAGAAGAATCAATAGTATCTGAAAAAGGTCTTTGCCTCTTGTTTTTGTTGCGGGTGTTAGGTCTCATTGTGTACTTGTCACACACTCACCACCTAACCCTAATAAACAAAAACGGAGACATCAACCATTTGTTAAAACCTATCTGATCTCCGAATTGAGAAATCGCATCGAAACCAAAATCGATGGTGTGAAAGAGCGAAGCAGAAAGTACCTGAAAGTCTAAGCTTTAGCAGAAAAAGTAGGGAGCAGCTTCTCCGTCTTCCTCAACTCTTCGTCTTCCCCCGTAGATTTTTCTCTCTCTCTCTTTTTAATTTTCCCTCGTCTCTGTAGTCTCCTCCTCCCGCGCTCTCTTTTTTCACAGATTATTATTATTATTATTATATAAAAAAACATAATGTAGATGAGATATCAGATCACACTTTATATTTCATTTCTTCTTAGATTTTTATTAGAGACTTCTCTTTATATTTAGAGATTTCATTCCAAATTAAATCCAATAAACTGCTTAATTTAGATTGTTGAAATAAATGTCATAATATCTCACTCACAACTATGGATTTAACTGGTAACCATCAAAATAATATGAGGAATAAGAAAGAAAGGAATGAAAAATAAAAAAATAAAAGAAAAATCTATTCCCCTTCTAATTTGACAAGGAATAATTGTAGTTTTTTATTTCTTAAATCTTAAGGAATGTTAAGAAATCATAGATAACAATTATTCCTTGTAAATGGTGTAAATTGTAAGGAATAGTAAGGAACTAACTATTCCCACTCATTCCTTTGGTCACCATTTGGAGCCTATGAGTCTTAAATAATTCATCAAATTCATTAACATCATAGGAGCCAGATGTCTTGTGTTCAAGATATGCCTAACAATACAACCTATTCACTAACATGTGTAAAGCCATAAATAAAAATGTCTCAAATTTGCAAGGATTATGTTTATGACAAATCTTATAATGTAAAGATAATGAGTACAATTTTAGAAACATGCATATAAAGCCAGATTCATCAATCTCTATCACCACCATAGGACGATATCTTTCCATTGTAATGACTTCGACCCTTGCTTGAGTACTCACGCTGTCTCCCATCTCTTTTCAACATCTTCCTCTTCCTTACCCCTTCAAATGTCTTTTTCCACCACCATCCTCACCTCTCCCTGCCACGTTTGTAATCTTCATCGTCCTCCTTCACCGTTTCATGTCTTTGTCTGTATCTATCTTCTCCCTCATCGCTGGCTCGACCTCTATACCTATCATCGGCGTCCTTTACGGTTCCACGTCTCTGACCAGCATCGCCGCTTCTATTATACATGTCCCTCCCATGCTGATTATAGTCCTCGTCTTCATCTCATATGTGCTTCCTTCCTCTTTGGTGACTTTCATCCTTCAGCTTCCTCCTGTTTTCATACTCAGCCTCACTGTCATCAGAGTCCCTTGCAACCTTCTTGCTATGAGAATCACTTCTATATCTGTCCTTGTCTTGCTTGGCCACAGCATCTTCTTCCTTGCTCATTCCTCCACTGTAAACTTCTATTTTACTGCGCAGTTGTTTCTTGTTCTTCTCATACTCTGTCTCACTGTTATCAGAGTCTCTTACAGCTTTCTTGCCCCTAGAACCACCTCTATAATTGTCCTTGCCATGCTTGGACACAGCCTCTTCCTCATGCTTTTTTCTTCCACGGTGAGCTTCTTCTTGTTCAGATTCAGACTCGCTAACATCAGAATCATGCCTCTTCCGCCCTCCTCTTCTTTTTTCTTCATGTTTGTCCCTTGCTTCTTTTGAACCAGATAGGTTAGAAGGCCGACTCTTTTTGTGTGACTTCCGAAGCTTCTGGCTGTCATCACTCTCATCTTCTGATACAGATTCAGAAGAGACACTTCTTTTGCTTCTACCGCCCTTCTTTGTAGCCTTCCTTCTCTTCTTTCTACTGTCACTGTCAGAATCCGAGCTGCTAGAGTCACTCTCACTATCACTCTCTTGTTTATGCCCCTTAGCCTTCTTCTTAGAGCACCTCGAGCGACCATTTTCATCAGACTCAGATAAATCATCATCATGTCTACTCTTCTTGCTCTCTTTCTTCTTCTTGTGACGCTTCACTTCATCCATATCATCATCATCATCATCATCATCATCATCATCATCATCATCATCATCATCATCATCATCATCACCACGCTGCTTCTTGCTTTCCTTACCCTTACCATCTTCCCCCTCTACACCCCCATCTATCTTTCCCACTACCTCGGTCCAAAAACGAATGTTCTCGCCTCTCTTTCACTACCACTTCTGGCTCATCATCAATGATCCCTTCTTCAGCTTGCTCTTGATCACGCAAACCAAGCACAGCTCGAAAAGCTTCCATCTGTTTCTCTTTCCTTGCAGCAACCTGATGGGTTTGCGTATCAGAGATCTTCGCATCACTCTCTTCAGAAGCAGCAGCTTCGAACTTCACTCTAGCTTCCTCAATCTTCTGAGCAATCTCGGCATCAGAAAAGCCCTGATCAGAGTGCTCGTCTTCTAGCACAGCAAGCTTAAGATGAATCTGACGCTTGCGGTCATGCTCAAGTATGTCTCTGTTTGGTTTCTTAGATAAACCAGCAGTTCCCTGACCATCCTCAAACCCTTTTCCACCATTAACGGGCGTACCACCATTCCTAGGCCTCACGATGAACTTGTTTGTCTGAACGTAACCATTAGTCCCTGAACCTCTCGCTGTCTGTAATCCTATCCCGTTGTACATTGTTTCAACTCAAAAATCAACCACCTCACGAAACCCTAAACCGGAAAGATGGGTTCAGATACAAATCGAAAGATCTCTAAAACCAAATGAAATCTAGTAAACGAGGAAGAAGAGAAGTTAGATTACCAGTGACTCAGTGTGTATGAGAGAGATCGTTGACGAGGAGTTATGCGTGCGGACACGGAGGAGACGACGAGGAAGGTAAAAGTTCACTCTCTCTCAGATCAAAGTGAACAAGGGAAAGGTTTAACGGAGCTTGGCTAGTTGGCTTTGTTCCAGGAAGCTTAAAAGGCCTATAATTAATAATATAAATGCTAACTGGGTCTAAGCCCTAACACGTTTGAAAGTTGAGTGATTTAGTGAACTACCCATATTTGAAGCTCAAATTAGCAAAATACTATTGATTGGACATGAAGGACACTGACACAACCATTTGGCAAGGAAATGCCGAAAATGCCCTTTCTCTTTCCTCTCATTAACACGAAGCGTAAAAACATTTGTTAACATATAACACTTCTGTTAACGTCTACAATATTTGTTAACAGCCAACACATTCATTACCGCGAAACGTAAAAATAATTGTTAACAGTTAACACTTT